GTGTTGCCAGATCTTATAAGCATTATGCTTACTAGAAGTAAGCAGCGCTGGCTGCAATCGGCTTACTTCCAGGTAGGTTTGTATATTTACAGCAACGTAAATATCAAATAAGTCCTGTGGAACTCATTGCCAGTTGCTCCTTCTAATGTCTCGGTCCTGAACCGGTTTTCTCAGACGACCCTCTAGGTTCAGCCAGACTCTTGGTTTCTCGGCACACAAACACGCTCTCTCCACGACTTCTGCAAGTCACTTGCTCCAGTTTTAAATCCCACTGAATTCAATGGGTCTTACTTCGAGTAAACAGGCGTAGGGTTTGTGCTTTGAGCAGCGTTGATTTGGAAAGAAAGGCGAAGAACTGGTCACAAAATCAAACTCCCTCCCCCCCCCCCCTTGTTGTTGTTTTTTACTTCGGGTGACATTAATTCGGCATAAACATGGATACTCTCCGTGCAGCATCTCTTAGAATCCCCCCATGCATTAAAACGATGAGAGTAAATGTGTTACTTTCGTCGTTCTTCAACCACCAAGAGTAGAAAGGGATTGTTAACACTGCGTGGGGGCCACCGCGTCCCAAGAACACCCAGACCGTTAACACTCTCACAGGAAATTGGAAACAATGGGCGTTACCCAAATAAATGCCTTTGTGACTGGGGTTCCCGGAGTCAGCTCCTTTACGCGCTTCCAAATTGGTTTCCTTCCATGGACGTTTGCACTGATCTCAGGATCGAGCCCCTCCCAATAGATAAAATGAGAGAGAGTTTACAAAGAAATCACTATTGTACTAAGCTTATGGACCTTCTGCTTTTTGCTTGACTCAACACTGCGATAGGGACAGTGCAAATAACGTTTGCATTTGGCGAAGGAGCGATCTCAGAACCTTAGCTCGTATGAGGTCCTCTGTGTTCCACCCACTGGTCGCAAGGGCTGAATTTCCCACATCCAAAACACCCCCGTGAGAATAAATCCTTGTTGCTGGAGCCCGAGTAAATTAACAGCACAAGCCAGATGCACGTTTACACGAAAGTAAACCTCCCTGGGTTCAATGAGGCTTACTCCCTTGTACGTTTGTCTAAGAGAGAGCCTCTTTAAGCAATATAACGCCATCACTGTGTAGGGTGCTTGACAGAGAATCTAGAAGCACGGGTCTCTGCCCCGAGGAGCTTACAATCTAAAATCTTGGCACTGCAAGGTGAAATACCACAGAGGGAAGGAATGGCAATGAAACAGAGCAGCCAGGAAAGGGATATGCGCTCGTCACAAGTCCTTGTTGCAGAAAATCACTATGCTATGTCCTGATTCTGCTTTTTAAAGACCACCGAGCTGAAATTTCGAGCGTCGCCCTCTGAACAACATGCTCCCCATTATACAGCTGGAAAGAAATTTGTCTGCGCAAGATTGTGGGCTGTTTGGCGCAATTTCAGGGCGAATGCCTCCCTTCTCGTGAACCTTTTCGGGGATTTGAGATGCCCTTTGCCAAGGAAGCGATCCGTTGAAGCAAAGGGTCACCGCAGGGAGGAGGAAGGAACTCAGATGTCATTCACGCGTCAGGCTCGGGGAAGCACAGTGTTGTTGCAAAGGGGGAATGTTTGGAACTTGGTGGCGTTTGGAAGCCTCTGGAGGCATCAACCACAGTCGTGGCTCCCGTGCGTTGTGGGAACCAAGGACTGGTCCCCGTTCCTCCTCCTCTTCCTCCTCTTCCCCCAGGCTGCAAGGTCAACAATTCCTAGTGACAGGGCTAGATTCCCCCCCTCCCACTAGTCCCAGTCCTGTCCACAACTCTCACCAAAAAAAGACACCGGTCTTGGGCTTAAATTGTGTCGTAAACATTGTCGAGCTTAGTCATGTTTTCTTAGCTGATTCTCAGGTACAATCAAGCCATTTTCGGGCCCTCTTCCCAGGGACGGAGCGAGGGTGATCTGGAGGAAGCTGTCGACGCCTGTTCAGTTAATTTAGCTTTGCTTTGTCTAATTACTGGCGGAGCTTAGGGAAAAGGAGCCCGGCTCAGGGCGGTAAGCTGACACTTGGGCTCGGTGGGTGGTATAAGCCAGGCAGAGGGTTGATGGAAAAAGCCTGCTTCCACTCAGCTCCAGGTCACTGTCTGAGACCAGCCGCCCCTCCTCTTCCCTCCTCCAACCACCCCCGCCTGCTCCCTCCCGCCCGCCCGCCCGCCTCCACCAAAGGCAGCTCAGCAAAGCGCCACCAACGCCGAGGGCCTCCTTCTCACCGAGGTGGTGGTGGCGGACCTGGGTCTGGGCTGTACCACTTCGGACTGCACTGGGGGTGGGGAAGGACAGTTTCCACGCTCCCTTCCGAAGTCCCAAATATCGTCCCCCATGGAAAACTGACATAGCAGAAAGCGAGTAAGGCTAAACTAACAGAGGACCAGTTTTGTTTTTTGTTTTTAGATGTAGGATCTATCTATCTAATCTAATCTATCTATCTATCTATCTATCATCTATCTATCTATCTATCTATCTATCTATCTATCATCTATCTATTTAAAGGGTCCTTTTCTTTTTCTGGATGAGTTTTCCGTCGTTTGACTCAATTTAACACAAGACAAGAAAAAGTTTGCCCGCCTCGCTAGGACTGAGAGATCCAGTTCTCCAGGCGCAAGGCTTTGAAACAATACTTTCCCATTTCCCTATTATTATTATTATTATTATTATTACTACTACTACTACTTTTTATTTTCCTTTGAGAATCAGGACAAAGAAACGGTGTGGGCTTTGAAGCTAGGAAACGCGTTGGTTTAGTGCACGATTCCATTTCTCCGACCACTGGGCCGGACAGTTGCTGTCAGGACTCAGCGTTCCCAATCTGTAAAATGTGTCTAAACAAGTGACTATTACACCATCTAAGTGCGTTGCTCTGAAGACAAGCACTCTATTAGCACTGTGGGTAAACATCGGTGCCCGCTGCCTATGTGCTGGGGTGGGGCTGGGGCGACAAGCGACTATGGAGTTGATAATCCGCAATGGCTTGAATGCCCCCGTCCCCTCCTTGATAGACTTCTATTCCATGAATGAATTCCTTACCCAAACCCCAGCATGAGCAGAGCACATGGTTTCTCCCTGGAAATCAGTTTGAGCGGCATCCCGTCCCACACACACAGATTCTCCCCTCTGTAGATTACCAGACTACCAGCAGCGCTGCAATCTCAGAATTCCTATAGAAAGATATCAGGAGAGTAGAGGAAGGGAGTCACGGGTCACAGGCAGAGATCTGACTGACCTCTTGCGGCACCGGGCTCTGGGTCTACTCTTGGGCAAGCCCTCAGTCTCCTGTCTGTGAAATGGGACCAGCTGAGTCCGACCTCCCAGGCTTGTTATGAGAAACAACCAAGGTCGGATTTGCAAAATCAAAAGTGCTTTAAAGAAATGATAAGAACGGAAACCAAGCTGGCTTCACTTTCTGATGTTGGAAGGGAAAGTAATGTACGTAGGTGCTGCTGCAAAAAGCCCTCTTGGGCTTCTCGAGGATGTCAGGGGTTTTGGTGTTTTTTTGGGTGGGTTTACGATTAGGACCCGGATGTGCTGCTGCGCACTTTTACTGTATAAAGTACTGACGCCTCTTTTGATGCGGGTGTACACGCATGTCCAAGTCTGGGGCCACTGGGAGGGCACGAGAGCGGGCTCCTTGGATGGCGGTGTTTGACCATATCTGTGTATCTTACATCTAAATTCCTGGGTCGAGCTGCGACCCTGCAGTCCTGGTGCTTGCTGAAGCCACTGGCAAAAATAAAATAAAAATGCCATTGGCTTTTCAAATGGGCTACGGTTGCACACTTAATTAAATGCAGTAGCCAGAGCAATCAATAGCAATTCCTTCCGAGGAAATGTTTTGGGACTAAATCCTATTGATTCATATGGTTTCTACTTTTCCTTAAATGTGCAAGCTAACCTACTGGAAAGGCAGGGATATGTGCTTAGCGGTTTCGACCCAAAGACCTAAATTAGTTGGGTTTACCACACACACACACACACACACACACACACACAGAGAGAGAGAGAGAGAGAGAGAGAGAGTCCTGGAATGACGCATTCGCTCTCACTTTGGCACAATCCGTTACGGAGAATTGAAGACACCTAACTGATGCAATCTATTAGAAGCTACTTGCAAACTTAATATTTGACTGTGTTATTTACATGGCACATGCAGGGAATGTTTCTGGAGGGTGGGGTATATGGGTATTGTTATATGTGTTTTTCAGAAACTGGAAAAAAAGAGGATTTGTGTTTTTTTTCAATAGTGCGATTTTTTCTGGTCGCAAAAATCCCCGAGCATTCCTTTGAGCTAGCCGAGATCTCTGGCAGTTGTCCTGGCAGGAGTAGGAAAGGAGCAGAAAAGCCACACCACCCGCGCATTACCTTCGGGGTCTGGTGCTGAGCGTGCGCTGCGAGGCTTAGCAACTGTCTCAGGGCAAGCGTGATGGATGGTATAATTGCGTGTAGCGAGGATGGCAGCCAGAGAGATCTGGAGCCTCTGCGGGCAGCTCGCAGGACTGGAGCGGGGGGGGGGGTGGACAGAGGCCAGCTGGAGCGGAGGAGCAGCGCCCTTTCGGGCCCCCCTCCCCTTCGCTCCTCTCTTCCCCCAGGCTGATTTTTTGGATAGACTCAATGGGAAAGGAGATTTCGGGAAAGAGGGAGGGGGAAGTTCCTCCAGCAGGCGACAGATTTAAAGTCCCGATAGGCGTCCGCGGATTCTGTTTGGCTGCGCTGCCTTTACGCAAAAGCGGCGAGGGGTTTCGCTGGATTTCCTCTTCTTTAAAGGCTTCAGGATGGCCACCAGGTGGGGGGCAGAGAGCCGAGGCGGAGAGCTGGAGAGAACTGTAGGCTCCTGAGTCGGGGGAGCGGGGGAGGAGAAGGAGGAGGGGGGTCAGAGAGGGGAAAGAGGGAGGGAGGGAGCGCTGGGCTTGTGTGAAACAGAAGAGAGGCAGACAGACGGAGAAGGAGAGAAAGGGAGGTTTGCGCAGGGAAGGAGGGAGGGAGGGATGCTCAGGGACCGCTTCCAGATCGCCGAGGAGGTGGCCCAGGAGGAGCAGCTTCCATGAGCTCCGAGATCGGGGCCCCGGTGCCTCGCAGCCCGGCCTTGATGAGCCAGCAGCCGCCGCCGCCGCCGCCCTCCGCGCTGGAGTCGTCCAGCAACGGCAGCAGCAGCAACAGCAGCGCTTCAGCGTCCGCGCCGTCGAAAGCCAAGAAAGCCAGCTCGGGGCTGAGGCGCCCGGAGAAGCCTCCTTATTCCTACATCGCGCTTATCGTCATGGCTATCCAGAGCTCGCCGTCGAAGCGGCTGACGCTGAGCGAGATCTACCAGTTCCTGCAGGCGCGCTTCCCCTTCTTCCGCGGCGCTTACCAGGGCTGGAAGAATTCGGTGCGCCACAACCTGTCGCTCAACGAGTGCTTCATCAAGCTGCCCAAAGGGCTGGGCCGGCCCGGGAAGGGCCACTACTGGACCATCGACCCGGCCAGCGAGTTCATGTTCGAGGAAGGCTCCTTCCGACGGCGCCCCAGGGGCTTCCGAAGGAAATGCCAGGCGCTCAAGCCCACCATGTACCACCGCATGGTGAACGGCCTGGGCTTCCTCCCGCAGGGCTTCGACTTCCAAGCGCCCCCCGCCGCCCCGTTGGGCTGCCACCCCAACGGCTACAACCCCCTGGACGTGATGCAGGCCGGCGCCTACGAGGCGCACCACGTCCCACACATGTCTCCCAACCCGGGCTCCACTTACATGGCCAGCTGCCCGGTGCCTTCCAACGGCGGCGCCGACTACGGCCCCGACAGCAGCAGCAGCCCCGTGCCCTCATCGCCCGCCATGGCCAGCGCCATCGAGTGCCACTCGCCCTACGGCAGCCCCGCGGGACACTGGACCTCCTCGGCTGCCTCGCCCTATCTCAAGCAGCAGGCCCTGCCGCCGCCCACCCCCGCTGCCCCCACGGGCATCCACTCCGGAGTGGCCTCCTACTCGCTGGAGCAGAGCTACTTGCACCAAAACGGCAGGGAAGACCTCTCAGGTACCAAAGGCGACCCGCCCCCACCTTCACCTCCACACGCGCTTAACCCTCCAAACCTTTGCCCACCTCACGAGTAAGCCGAATGGGGTCCTCCAGCTTCTTTTGAAATAGGAAATCAACGTGTTGACATTAGATAGATGGATGGATAGATAGATAGATAGATAGATAGATAGATAGATATAGATACTCCGCAGATACCCATAACTTGTTCAAAGGAAGCTTTGGGCTCAGTTCTTAAGCATGTTCCAGCAGAAGTAATAATATTTTATTGTAAACAGGCAGATCTCGTTCTGGTCATTTCTATTTACAACTTACGGTAATACATTTAAGAGCTGGTTGATCTTCTTAATCGCCCACAGCTCCAGCCTCGCTCCCACTGGAGGATTTCACTGCCACTAACTTGACTGGTTTGAGATCCTACAGGCGTGATGCTAAGAGCACAATCTCGTGGGAGTAAATGCCATGCAAATAACAATTTTTAAAAAGGATTCAGTTGCAATGGCTCTGTGTGCCGGGCACGGAATGCTGAACAGTCCGGAACGCGCACTGACACCATCCAGCAACTGGTGCGGATGTGATCCCCACACTCCATAGGATGGGTCGCATCCCGTGGGGATTGCAACTGGTTGCAATAAAGCTAGAGCTTGATCGGAGCCATTCTGTTGAAAGTGCATTATTTGGGATTCTAAACCAGGGAGGCAAGGGCGAGGAATGCAGGTTAGGGATCCAGCCGACGGTTGACAATGAGCAAACAAGCTGGCTTAAAAATAATATATTTGGATGAAATCAAGGAGAACATAGGAGAAAGGCTCTTTAAACCAACTTTTTTGGACTTGCAGGCAGGCCAGGGATGATAAGACGCTGCCCACCTTTCCCAAATACATATGCACACTTCCAGAGTAAGCGGGGTGCTCATCTCCATTAGAAACTGTGGGCGTAGAATGAGGAGGTGGCAATGGTTTCTGTGAATTAATCTTGAGCATTGAGATGTGATCCCGTCCACACTTACTTGGAAGTAAGGGCCGCTGGAACCAATGGGATTTATTCCAAGTGGAAGTTGTTTAGATAGGACGGCTTGTTAATGTCTCAGTTCATTACGGCAGTGAAAGCTTCGATCTACAGAGGTTGTAAATACTTTTTTTAAAATATGCCAAAGATGTTGGAGAGGAAGGTGCGGAAGGCACTGGTTCGGTTTCTGAAAGCAAAACCCTGAACAGGAAAGTGACTAGATATTTCAAGAATACCGAGTGGCTGCGATCTTGAGCGCACCTACTTAGAATTAAGTGCCAAAGACGGTTTTGGATCGGGATATTAGAGGGCGCCCATCATCGTGGCGTCTGGGCGCATCACGCTCACATAGATGACCAGCCGTTTTATTTCTGAGAACGACCCTCTTCATGTGCAGTGTGTGTATTATATATGTATATATCTCGACAGATGTAGATTAGATGGGGGGGGGTTTCCCAGAGGAATGACCTGCGACCTCCAAAACCGTAGGTAGGGTGTTGTTGTTTTTTAATTAAAAAAAGAACACCTCTTCGCGGGGAAGGCGGGCGATTGCGAAGAGACTGGAAATAAATCCCTTCGCTCGCTCAGGTTAAAGTTGTAGCTGTCAGATAACACTGCCTCAATAACAAGCCCCGATGCTGGGTCTCCTCGGTGTTTTCTCTGAAAACACCAGCTTTGACGTGAGAAAACAAAAGCTGCTTCCAGGGGGGAAAATAGACCTATTGTTCGGAGAGAAGTAGAGCAGCAATTCGGGAGGGCTGGGATGGGAGGGGGGACTTGTAGGAGAGATATATATGACTTTTTATCCCTCTCACCCCCTCACCCGCTCACCCAAAGAATATAGCCGCAGGACATCCTCCTGACTGTGTCTTAGTAAAGCCAGGCTCAATTTGTTGAGCAGAATGCCAGAGATCAACGTAAATTACAGATAGATTATTTTTACTTCGCTGCACTATTGATAATCATCTTATTTAAATTCGAATCTCGATCATAGCGCCCAGTCGCTGGCTCGGCACTGCAGTTGAGTCACGATTAGGATTATTAGATCGAGATTAACAATTTAGCCGGCGGCTGCAATTGGAAGTCCATGTGTAGCCCACGTTTAGGCATGTTTACTCAGCAGTAAGTCCCCACCGTGTTCAATGGAGCTTACTCTCTGTGTAGGATTGCAGCTTTTAGTTTGGAATTCGCTTGACTGAGCGCAGTGGGCCTTACTCCCGAGGAAGCATGCCTAGGATGGTCTTTTTAAAGAATATGGCTGCAACCCCAAATACTAAATATGCTCGTCGTATGGTTATGTGGTTAGAATTTGGGAAGCCTTCAATTTAATAGGACTTACTGGCGAGTAAGTATGATTAGGATCGCGCTCGCAGAGCGCATCCTGGTGTTTTCTTTCTTTCTTTCTTTCTTTCTTTCTCCGGCGTGGTATAATAGATAGATAGATAGATAGATAGATAGATAGATAGATAGATAGATCCATCCACAGTTACGCACTTTTACTTCCCATTGACTTCAACGGGGATGTTAGACACGTGCTTTTAAATTTCTCCCGGCGAAATCCGTGAGGAAAGGGCTTTTACTTTGGCTGGATCGTGTCCGTTTTGAATAAAGTGAAGCGCCTGCCGAGCATGACATACCACAGCTTCTTTCCTGCAAGTTTCTTAAAAAAAAACAAAAAACCTTTTCTCAGCCCTGATGATAGCGAAGAAAACATAACAAATCTCAAAAAAGGGTCTCATTACCACAGCGGGAGCAAAAGAAAAAGAAAAAATACCCTGGAGGTTTATAGCCATCTAATTGAAAAAGAGGGAGAAATATTATCTGAATACAGCCTGGGGGATGAGGCTGGGGGGCGGTAAATCTATTCGGATTTTCTTTTCAAACCGCAAAAAAAAAAAGGTGCTAGCGTGAGACTCAGACCCGTTTCTATAACTGGAAGGAACTGCTCTGTTGTTGTTTTTCTTTCTTGGTAGTACGTTGCTTTTTATAGGAGAAAAAAAATATTTCTTAAAAAATAATAATAAGACTCTTTAGTAAATCTGGGTGGAAGAAGAGAGAGAGAGCTCGAGTGTAAGGCATCGAAATGGGTAAAAGATGTTGGGCTCTTACGGAGGAAATTTTCCAAATAGCCCTTTTAAACGTGGGTCTCGGAGGTTAACTAAACAAAGACAGTCTGGGCTGGACCACACCGAAGGGGATTGGAGCTTGACTTAACCCAGATGAGAGCGAGGTCTTGTTCAATTTTATGGGAATTTCAACAAGTAACAAATACAGACGACCTTGTCCATTGCTTCGCTTTGCTTGTCGGCGACCTGCTGTCAATCATCTGCTGAGCCCAACTCTCCATCTCTCTTCCCCCCCCCCACTAGCGCCCCCCTCCCTCTCCAAATCACCTTCCTTTTTAGCTTGGGATTTGGGGAAAGAAAGAAAAAACCAGAACCCTTCCCTTGTGGAAATGATTCCAGAAGGATCTCTGGAAGTTTTGTTTTGTTTTTTAAATGAGAAGGATGGTGAGGGTTGCATGAAACCGACATCCTAATCTCCCGAGGTAACGATAGGAAGGGAACTTAGATATAGTATTTGGTTTTACGGAGTGGCCTTTAATTTTATTTTTACACCTTGATTCTGACTCTAAACACAGTCCCGCCATTGGTTTTAATGGTCTCGAGGCTGGGCGTAGGAGAAGTTCCACTGAGTGTAAATGGGACTTTAACTGGTCAGTAATGGATTGGGGTGAAGGAAGATAGTAATTTAAAAGCACATCCATTCCCTCCGTAGCCTCGTGCAGTTTCCGCATCTAAATCCACTCTTCTTTAAAATGCCCATTTCCTGGATTTTAAAGGACTGCATTCTTTCTCAGAATTATCCAACCGCTTTCTGAACCCAACACGCTGGATCGGAAGAAATCTTTTGCTTCTGCGTCAGGATTATTTCCCACTAAACATTTGGCAGTTTTGATAAACGCTATTCCCATGCCTGGGGAGTATAGGTCGAGGAAGCCCGATCCACAGCCCAGTGGCACCACGTCTCAAACGACATTTACAGTGATAATCCTATGCATGTATGCGTATCTACCTCGAAGTAGGTCTCAGGATTGCAACCCTAGCCGAAACTGCCAGCTCCAAGTAGCGCTCAGGTGTTTCAAAGACTCAATAACTGGTTAGGCAGGGATTTCTGCTATTACTTTGGGCTTCTTGGATTCCGCTGAGGAGAAGGTGATCGAAGCACCTTAAAGTTGTGCAGGATAGTATAGGCCTAAGGAAGCTTCGCTGATGCTTCTCAATCAACCAAGCCAGCTATACCGATGTAGGCTCTTCAGAGTCAATGGGACTACTCTAAAATAAGCAGGCTGCCAATGGGAAACAGGAGAGTTTCTTAAATCTCATCCGGATTAAAAAAAAAAAGGTTTAATCTTAAGGAAGTGGGGAAGGAAACCCAGAAATATTTTTGAAGTATTTTTTGTTAAGCATGTTTAGTTGGGGAACAATATGCTATATAAATCCAGCTCCAGTGGAAAAAAAACTGCTATGAAACATAAACAGGGAAAGAGAAAGAAAGAAGGTTGCAAGCGCGTTTCCTGGGAAGTAGACAAATCCTAGGCATATTTTCTGGGAGGGAAATTTTTCCCAGTTCAAGGAGACACTACAGCAGGGATTGGGGAACCGGTGTGGCCTTTCAAGTGTAGTAGGACTCCAAGTCCCATCAGCCTCAGCGGGAATGCTGGATGGTCAGGTGAGCTGGGGCTGATGGGGTCTAGCAGCAGCTCCTCCTCACCCCAACATCGCCTCTCCAAGCGAGCCTTGGACCCCAGCATTGCAAACGATGCGATTGGGGAGTTCGGTGAAAGAGTGCATCGCAGGAGTATATGAGACTGGAGGACACAAAATCAGGCCAGGAGATCTCAGCTCCCCTCCCTCAACCCGGTCCTCGCCTGCTAGAAGTACTGTAACCTTCATTGATTTGCAATGAAAGTCCTTCGAGTAACTGCTGCCGGGATCGGCGCCTGCTTCCTGTCAGCCCAGTGGCATTTAGCAACCGAGAAAATGTGTTTAGGATCAGGATCTTAAACGAACCCGCTGCTTTGAAACCCTGGCAGGCAAAGCAATCGAGGAGCTAAGGTCTCCGCCCCGCCCGGAATACCAGGCGCTGCGGAGCCGCTCGTTTATGAGCTGACAGCGCTGTAACGTCGGTCCCCAATTGATTTTTATCGGTCAATAAAGCCCCATCAAATCATGCACGGTTTAGTGCCGAGGAGATGCTAAATCCCGGCCTCTCCTGAGCCTCCCTCCCGCTCTCCCCTTAGAAGGGCCGAGCAAGATTGGAAACAGAAGTCGCTTCTCTCGGAGGCTTAGAGGCGAACGGAGCAGAAGGAGGGAGAGGAGGAGGAGGAGGGAGGCGGACATTTTTCGCACACTGTTAAACCAAAGCGAACTGATTGAATCAGAGCTGCAATAAAGCGCGCCGGTTTCATTAGGAGCATACCAGGCAGGTTATTAGAAAGACGGAGGAAATCCAGCGAAATAACCGCTTTTACCAAAGGGACCGCTCCGGGGTGAGCAAAGGGGCAGACGAGAGAGAGAGAGAGAGAGAGAGAGAGAGAGAGAGACCCTCTAACTATTACTCCGCACAGCCCCCTGGGTCAAAAGTGAAGCAGGCGTTGAGCGGAGACTGAGAAAATTCAGCAAGGGGCTTCTCCACTTTCCCTCTCGATGGGAGTCCTTTGCCCAACTGCTCAGCTAAAACAACTTTGGAAAAAGAGGAGTTATGCGGAGGGGTATTGATCCGTAGCCCTTCTTTCCAGACCCCTGCAGTCTTTTGCATCAGTTGGGGACGATCAGAGAGAAAGGGAACGGTCAAGTCTACCTCTCTGCAGCCCCAGAAACTAGAGCCCCGATTGGCAGACAGAGCTATCCAAAACGGTTCCTGAACAGGAAGGGAAGGAGGAAGAAAAAGAAACTTATTTGTTTATTGCGTTTTTACCGCATCTTTTTCTCCAAGGAGCCCGAGGGGGCGTCCGTGGTCCTCTTCCTGCTCATTTAACCCCACAAACCAACCCTGTGAGGTGGGTTAGGCTGGGAGGCGGTGTCGTGAGTCGCCCCGGGTCACCCAGTGAGCTTCCTGGCCAAGTGAGGATTTGCACGCTGGTCTCTCCCACGCCCTAGTCCAGCGCCCTAACCGCTGCACCATACTGCTTTTCTGAAGATGCCCCCGGGGCTGCTCTTCATTTCCGGGGCACGGGCAGATTGCCCTGTTGAGCCCACTCGTTCCTGCCGCTAGCTGGGAAGCAATGGAGAGCGGCTCTGGTATTTCCCAAAACACTTCGATGCCCAACAGCACTCCTGGGTGGAAGGGAAGACTCGCCGGGTCTGGCCACCTCGACCTGACCGCTGCGGCCGGATCCACCTTGTGGCTGTAACCGCTCCATGTAAACCAACCCAGATCTTACAGTCCAGGTGTCACACTCTGCGCCAGCGCGGTTTCCAAGCCGCTTTGGTCAAGAGTCGCCCTGTCGGTTCCTTGAAGGGGCTTATTCAAAAGATTTCAGAAATAAAATAAGCAGGTTGTAAACTGAAATGGGGCATCCCACTGGGTCTTCCGCGGGAGATGCTCATGATCCGGATTGCATTCAGTCAGCTAAACAAGAGCACTTCGGTGAAACTAGGATGTGGGCTTGAGCCTCTGTTGCTGCGCGGAGCCAGCGACAGGCATGGAGGATGCGCAACCGCGTCCATGCGCATCAAATTGCGCACATCAAGCTGGTGCGAGCAAAAGTTTTGGGCCAATAATCATGGCAGGGATTTTTCTGCCTTTTAGTTGACCGAGATTCGGGAGATTTCCTTGAGATAAATGGCTCAGGTGCTTAACAGGATTTCGCGCAGCGGCCTCTGTGGAGTCGGTGATCTCAGGCTCCCCGGTCATTGCTTTGCTATCAATAAGGGCTGCATTAGAAGCATCATAGGATAATGTTCTGCTGTGATCTAACCACCTCAGCATAGATCACGACCCGAGATTAGCCTTAATAAGGGAAACACCAAACAACTCAGCGTTTGGGCAGAGCTGAGTCAGAATCGCGAGAGGTCCACTGAGTCCCATAGGTTCTGAAACTTCCTCTCTCAGAGGGAGGGGGGCCCTTTCCACAAAACTCTTTCCGAATCCCGCATTTTGACTCGCACTTGCGAATAACAGCAGGAGCTGGAAACTTTCAGCCCTTACTGTAGCTTTTACTGAGGACCGTAACATTGTGCTTCACTGTAATGCTAAATGGTTCAGAGGCTTTCTGTGTTGTGAACCGCCTGTGCAAACGATAGCTGAAAGGCGGTCGACGGGTGCCGCAAACAAGTTCAGTTGGGTAGATTATGCTCTGTCCCTAATTTCTGGGTCAGTATTTATCCCCTGAAAAGGAGGAGCGAGGCGGGAGGACCGCTGGGTCTGGACGCTGACTATGGAAAAGGAAGCTCAATTGAAAATCGAAGTGCTTTACTTTAAAGTCAATTGTGTCGTTAGGATCAGGATCTTAATTCATTCGGAGTTCCACATTCCCTTTTTCACTGAACTGTGCGCGGATCCTACAGGCCCAGAATACCTAGGTGTGGAAAAATCGAGGTAAACGGGACAGTGATCCACTTATTGGAGACTGCAGTCTCAGTCATATTTACCAGGCAGTAAGTCTTCTCAAAAATAGTTGGGACTTACTTCGGACTAAACGTCCGTAGGATTGCACTGTGAGAAGCCCTGGAGGCAGTTTGGCGTCCTGCGCGCTTGTGGGCTGATCGGAAGCCAAAGTCAGGAGAGACATATTTAGGCCCCAAACCTTTGGCTTAAAGTGAGATGCGTTGTGAATAGGCATAGTTTGGGCAGCGACAGCCGCGAATGGGTCTGTAGGTCCCCCGCACAGCATTTAAATGCTTGTTAGAACATTTAAAAAGGAGAGTAAAAACAAATAAATATGGGTTTGGTTGCCTCTACGAGGAAAGCCAGCTATGCGGCTTCCTCTCCCTTGCAGACTTGCCTTCTTCTGGCTATCAATATTACTATTGCAGTCCGCCTTCTTTCCAAGGCGCTCAAGGCGGCTTACACTCCTGCAATCCGCGTAATAATCCTGCGGGGATCATGGGAGTTGTAGGCCAAAAACATACGGAGGGCCAGTTTGAGGAAGCCTGACCTAGGCAGTGGGGATTTTGAAGTCACACCCTTTAACCCTTTGACCATCCCACCCGCCCAGTCACGCCCCTCAGCTAACCACCCTGGCTTCTCCAGGGGAACCGTTTGAGCTGTTCTGTGGACTCGCTAGCTCTTTCTCGCTTCCTCCGCAGTGGGGCTGCCTCGCTACCAGCATCACCCGTCCCCGGTGTGCGACAGGAAGGATTTCGTCCTCAACTTCAACGGCATCTCTTCCTTCCACCCATCGGCCAGCGGCTCCTATTACCACCATCACCACCACCATCAAAGCGTCTGCCAAGACATCAAGCCCTGTGTGATGTGAACAATGACCTTGGGAGCTGGATTGAAAGGAGAAGATTGGGGAGGTTGGGGTGGGAGCGAGAGAGAGAGAGGTCCAAAGACTTCACCCAAAAGATCACACGCAACGGGAGGACTCGCGCGGATCGAGCCCAGAGGTCCACGCCCAGCTCCGCGAGCCTCCCTTTGTAAGTACAGTGCGCCAGTCACTTAAGGAAAGCCGCGTAAGGGCCGGACGCCCCGTTGGATACGCGCGCTCCTTTTCCGCGGGATCCTAAGCCTCTCCCACTGAGTTCACAGCACGTCTGCACGTGTTCCCTGCGAAGTAAGCCCGACTGCGTCCAGTGGGGCTTCCCAAACGTGCAAGATCAGCAGCTCTAGCCCCACAGACACGTGCGCAATGTTGCAGCTCCATCCTAGAGCGCCAGAATGTGAAACTAAACCCCACCGACTTCAGCTAGGAAAGGGGACAGGTGTGTGTGTGGGGGGGGGGGGAGATTCGAGGCATACTTCCTCAGAAGTAAATCCCATAGAGTCCAATGGTCCAATGCGTATAGGATGGCAGTCTTAGCCTTGAATAGATCCGCATGAGGGAGAGGACTGCGATCCTAGACATACACCCGCATCTGGGATGGAAAGGTGGGCTGTAGCGCAGGAAAGCTCATAGCCATGATGATATTAATAAATAAATAAGCACCAGTCTTTAAGGTGTCAAGTGTACGTTATGTATAGGACACAGCCTTAAGCCTCAGTGAACCCAAGGAGACTTTCCTCTGAAGAAAGACTACTTCAGGATCGCGCTGCGTACAACTCAAGCTATAGGGAATGGGCTCCTGTTGCTTTGTGTGTTTGGATGAAAGGGCAGGAGGTGGTCGCCGCAGCTCCAGGAAGGTTCAGAATCAATCAGGCACATTCCTTTGATAGCCAGTATTTTAAAGAAATGAAGCAGAAGGCTAGTTCATATACATATAGTTACATTTTTTAAAAACAAAAATAATCAAAGGCAACTGCGGTTGGAATCTGCTAGCTTTTCAATTACACAGAAATTGAGGGCGGGAGGGAGAGAGATGTCCCCTTTTTATGCCTGACGTCCGTGCAACACAGAAACAATCCGCATTCACTGAGTTCGCCTACTCCATCATCCGAATAAAGCACTTTCGTTTTGAGTCCTGCTTCATTTCAGCTGGAGAGATCTAAGCACGTCAGGGCATTGCAGCACAAGGTAGGCTTCGATTCTGCACGTGTTTACCTGGGAGTACGTGCCATTGGACTCCACGGGGCTTACTCCCGAGTAGAAATATATGGGATTGCACCGTGAAGTCTTTGCGCCGCTGAGATTACCTTCCGAGTAAGCTACGTAGGTTCACGATCACACTCTCCTATTGAAATCAGCGATGTCTGTCACAGAATCGTACCTCTAGCTTTTGAAAATGCAGATTTAATATTCCCTAGTGTCAGCAGAGCCATTGTTTAGCGGGATGCTGTTTCAGCAGCACCAGCTAGTATTAACAAACCTTGTTTTAAATTTTGGAGAGGGTGTGTGCTTGTGCGTGGTTGTGTCGCTTCCAAGAAAGTCCCCAGATTCTGTTTGTTTGTGTTTTGTTTTCCAGTATTGCAACAATACCACGTTTGGGGTTTAGTTTATTTCCTTTCTTGCTTTCTTTTTTTTTAAACTTTTTTTAAAAAAGTGTTTATATCACAGTCTTTTAAAATAATTATTTGGAATAAATCTCGTGTATACTCACACACTATCGCTTTTAAACCGGAGAGTATAATTTGCACTTATGTATAACGTTTGTCAAAATATTGTGATGTACAAACTTGTTGGGGTGGGTTTCTTGTTGATGTGTGTGGTGTGTTTCTCCCCCAATAAAATGTATATGGCCAGCGCGCATTTTCCTTTTCCTCGGCATGCTAAACTCCTCGGTTCTTATACCGAATTGTAACAGGAAAAGGAGCGTGCATCTCGCTCCTTAAAGGAAAGACGGGAATCCGGAGGCGGATCCAGGAGGCGCGGTGACTTCGAGGTGTGTTTTTCTTTTCCGTGGAAAGGGACCAGAATTACTTCGCTTGCGGGCTGCAGCGTTTAACAGACGAAACACCCAGTCTATACCCAACGCTTGGTATAGTTTGTCTATTTTTGACATTTCCCCCCCTTTAGAAGCGAAACGTATTGGGGGAAACACAGTGGAAGACAAAGTATTAAAAATCTCAGATTAAAAAAATTCAATCGGAGTATTCTTTCCTTTCAGGACTTTGATTTTTTCCTCCCAGTCCACCTTCAACAAGTGTTTACACACAGAGAGAATCCAGAAGCAACCCATCAGACTCCACTTTGCATTCAGTAGACAAAGAATTGAAGCGAGTTATTCCCTCCCCTTTTAAAGGAAGACAAATTTGTCTTCGGGTTTGGGAGTTTAGCGTCCGCCAGAATAAAACCAGCGCGGGAAGAAAATGCTGAAACCATTATCTGTTTACCTGGGCTTTTCTTTTCTCTTTTAGCACATTAGGAAGTTGCCGCCCTTCCAAAAGGTGCAGCTCCGTATGCACTTCTTGAACTGCAGTTAGGCAGCTTTAGTCTTGGGGAGTGAATGGCCGCGTGTGTACGTCGGGGGGCGGGGCGAGTGTTCTTTAGATGCGAACTTGCTTTAGTTGGAAACGTGGCAAGCCAAGTGTTTGGGGGCTCCCCTGCTGTCTCGGGGTCTTGTACCTGCCTGGACTACTGACCACGCGCGTTCTGTGCGCCAGAGAGAGCGTCCAAAAGTCCGCCTCCAAAAAGTGAACGCCATTGCGTCCGGAGGCGCCCACCTTTCTGTTCGCTTGCAAATCCACGGAGCCTGGGGCCCAGGTGAGGCCTCGGTAGGGAGAAGCAGCTCCCCAAACCCAAGTGCTCAGGATTCACGAAGCGATGGCATTTAAATTGCTGCCTCCACTTCCAAGGGAACTGCATAATCTGTCATGGACGCTTTAGCTGATTCTATATGATTCTATAACTCACCTATTGGGCATTCGCCAACGCCGGGTTAAATGCGCGTGAACCATCGGTTTAAGCAGGGGGATCGACGTAACTTACTTGCCGGGTGTCCTCCCTGGAGATAGCGCCTACCTTAGCTTCAAAAATTAGATTTTAAATAAATTCCTAAAAGCCACGTCTCTGGTGCTTAAATGGAACTCCAATACATGGTAGGGAAGTTTCTTGTGTACAGTATTTTGTTTTTAATATTGTATTTTTGTGTTGTGAACCGCCCTGAGATTTACGAATGAAAGGCGGCTTACAAATTTAACTAATCATAGTAAATAAATAAATACTCCTGAGGGGCAGGTGCTGGAGACAGGTAACAGGGAAGCGCTGTTTCCTGCTTGTGAGCATCTCAGGGGCATCGGAACGAGGATATTGGACGAGATCATGACCTGCAAGGTAGGAGGACATTCAGGCAGCTGACTGCATCGCTAGAGAATCGATACCTGGCAGCAGTGATGCAGTTAAGGCGATTTTAGACCCTGAGCTTATTGCTCTGAAACTGTGTGTGCGCGTACGACTTTATTTCCTTCCAATAAGTGTTAAGCCAGCCCTGCTGCATATGGTGGTGGGGTGCAGGGTGTGGGCGGCTGGGCTTCTGCCCCCCCCCAAGTCCTGCCCTGCTGCTGCTGGTGGCATCACTGCACCCCAACCCTCACCAATGGGACTGACTTCCCCATCCGGCTGTCCGGAGTCCGGATCCCAATCCTTGCAAGGCAACAGGAATTGCACTCTGAAATTAAGTGCCATTGATTTCAGTCAAACCGACGGCTTCCTCCTAGAACAGAAGCTCTTCCTCAAGGAGCAATGCATCCCCCCCACCCCACATTTTCTGGAATTCTCAAGCAGCCCCTGAAATGGGATAGGGGGACGCGCGGTTTCAGCGTCCCGCTCTCCTTCTCTGCCTTAGGATCGGGCGCAACTGCGGGTTTCTCGCCCGAATCACAGCTCTGAAAGCACCTCGCGCTCCTTTCCAGTGGATTGCACGCCCGGGAGGGTCTTTGTCCTCAGCCTGCTGGGAAGCCACCAGATCCCTTGACTCACCAGCGGGACTTACTTCCAAAAATCTTAAGTAGATGCGCTGCTGGCTGCGCAAAAGGGGGTTTGGAGCGGTTCCCGATGGGCTGGAGGTGCAGGCCTGATCTTCCCGCTCAGAAGCCAGCCAACCCTTGATTTTATGCAAGCTTTTCTCGTGCATAACAACCATGCCCTAAAAATAAAAATAAAAAACCCAGCAGCTTCCTATTTAAAATGGAGCACCCCATCGATCTTGCATTTCCAAACAATAAAGCAGGGAGTGGATTTGTGCAAAATCTTTTTTTCTTTTTCTTTTTTTAACTCTTCGTTTTCATATTCAAATTCAAGAACGCTGCATCTTGGATTTTCTTGGGGGCCTGCTGTACATTATAAAGTCAGTTTCAGAGTACGATTCGACCACAGTGCTGTGTTTACATTCTTTTCAAGGCAAGGCTGCATGGACGTAATTTATAACCTAAACACTCGAACGTAACTTGTTTATATAGAGAATGACAAGACCTCAAAGACCGAAAAACTGAATTTGTCCAACTGAGAGCTCCAGCGAGGCTCCACTGCCCCCTAGTGGGCAGACAGAACTTTGGGAAGGAATTTTTCTTTTTTTAAAAAAAAATCTTAGCTGTGCAGTTAGTTTATCTGTCCAGCAGGCAAGAGCAATTGAAGTCAGGGGAACTTAACTCCCAGGAAATTAGGCACAGGATGAGCCAGAGAGATAAAGGGATCCATTTCACTAGATCCCTTTCTCAGAGAGTCATTTCTCTTGCAAAACCTTTTTGAACCATAAAGTTGCTCCCAATTGTTTTATGGGCAGATCTCATTTCTCCTCCCAGATAGAGATCCAAAGTACCAGGTGCTGCAAATAGTATCTTGTGGCTCCCAGCTCTCCTCTCTGAGAGCTGGTGGCAGCAAAAGGGGGGCTGCTGGAGGAACAGATGTGCCTCGCGGGGTTCTTCCCACTTCACCAGTGTTCCTGCGGCTGCGGCTGCTCTGAGCAAATGTTATCGATGGCTCTCAGCCCTTAGCCCTCTCGGAGGCCGTGGCTGTTGCAGGAACTGGGGTTAAGTGATGTATAAAGTTCTCTCCCCAGTCCTCCTGCTGGTGTTGCTTCCTCCCAGGTCCACACCAGTGGCCAAGAGGAACAAGCTCTGCGTTCCCAACAGGCCTGGCAATCATACTTGCGGGTTTTTATGAAACAAACTAGCAGGCACAAGGAGGGCAGTTGTTCTGGGGAATGCAGAATGCAGGGCAGCGGGGAGAGGTTTAGATTTTCCATCTTTTCTGAGACTGGACATTCTCACATCCAACGGCTGCGGCTGCCGGCTTTGCACCTCCGAAAAGCGTCGGTAGTAATGGAGGGCAAAGGTTCTTCAGAGTGTGGTATGTTTGAGGAATTCAGTTTCTGCAAATCCTCATGCAAAGGTAGACCTGATCGCAACTACCTCCTAGATGTGCGGCTCGACATGGGATGATGCTTTAGATTCTGGCACCTCTCCAAATTTTGCAATACAGTTCCTGGCTCAGAAACATGTATTTCACGATGAAGCACCTTTTAGAAGTGTACTTCAAAACAAAGCGATGCATCTTATGGTAAATTTTGGTTCAGATATGGATGGGTCGCTCCATTTTTCGGAACCATCTGCCCAGGCCAAGAAACTTAAGGACTTCACTTAAACTTACAATAGCAAAGGTGTACACCTTAACACTATATACAGAACACCACTCCAGAAGGGAAAGAGATAGAAAGAGAAACCCAGGCTCCTTCTGGCCTCTTATTATGGTCTGCATGACCTTAAAGAATAGATAACAGAACCAGTTTAAGCCAGCGGTACTCAGCTTCTCTGAAGGAATAACCCAAACATCAGGAACCTTTTGCTTGTTTCTTTCACACAGAGAAGCTTCCAGAAGCCTCTTGAATTAATTAGAATAGGAAAGATCTCTACACATCAGACCAATACTTTCTGCACTAAGAAATGCAAACTGACACAAACATCTCTGCTGCAAACAGCTGCTGCTGCTGCTCTAAACAGATGGTGTGAGTGGCTCCCAGTCTTTAAATCTCCCAGAGACAATGGCTGTTAGAGGCACAGGGAAGCAGTGACATAAGAAACCCTTTCCTTTCCATAGCCTTCTTGCTGGTGGTTGCAAAGGAGAGTCCTGGGACTGCAGAAGGTAGGAAGCTGCCCCATTTCCAGTCAGACCCATGTTCCATCTAGAACAGTATTGTCTCCATGGACTGGCAGAGGCTCTCCTGGGCTTCAGGGAGGAATCTTTCCCAGCCGGAAAGGACCTTGAGCTTCATCTAGTTCAACTCCCTGCAATGCAGGTATATGCATCTGTCACTTATGGGGTTCAAACATAGAACCTGGGCATTATCAGCACAAGAAGAAACATAATAAGAGTCAGGTTAACACACAAGTAGGATTTGAAATGTAATCAGCAGTAAAACAATTTAAATATTAAGTTAGGATGGGGAGGGATGATAGGTTTAATATGCAGCAGGAAAAGGGGGAACAAGGAAACCATGGAATAGTGGATCAGAAGTCTGCATTTGTTAAAAACATTGGGGAAAACCAATTATGTTATTACCATATTTTTTCCGTGTGTACAGTCATACCTTGGGTTGCGAACGTTGCGGGTTGGGTGTTTTCAGGTTACAGACCGCGCCAAACCCGGAAGTACAGGAATGGGTTACTTCTGGGTTTTGGCGCTCGTGCATGCGCAGAAACACTAAATCACGCTTTGCGCATGTGCAGAAGCGTCGAATTCATCATGCGCATGCGCAGACGTGGCACTGCAGGTTGCAAACACTGTGGGTTGCGAACGTGCCCCCTGCACGGATCATGTTCGCAACTCGAGGTTCCACTGTATGTTGCTCCCATGTATAAGACGACACCTATTTTTTTTTAACCCCAAATTAAGAAATCAGTATTTTAAACATAAAACAGAACAACTTCGATATTTTATTAAATATTCAAAGCACCGGCACCGGCATAGCAACCTCCGCCGGTGCCTGGGGTGGTGGGAGGGGGGTGCGCATGCGGGCAGCAGCAGAGCATGCCCACCAACAGCTGAGATTGCTCTAAGTTGCTGAGCTTCTTCATGGCAGCTGCTGGAAGGTGAGTAAAGGTAAAGGTAAAGGGACCCCTGACCATTAGGTCCAGTC